ACTATTATGACTAATTGCACAATTTATATTCACCATCTTATTATCCTATAGACAAAACACCATGATTGGTTTATATTTGAATTTTTATTTGTAAACTTATGTATATTAGAGTTAATCCTGATGAGATTAGAAACAATATTGTTCGCTTAAATGTGTTGTTCTAAAATCAAACTTAACAAAATCGGAAAGAGAAGCTTTAATTGGTCTAAAACAGGATAAAAATATTGTCATCGCAAAATCTGACAAAGGAAACACCACCGTAGTTCTGAATAAATCTGACTATATCAAAAAAGTTACTGAACATATTGAGACGGGTCCATATGAGGAAATTAAGAAGCCTGTAGACACAATAATGAATAAGGTTAAGAAATCTACAGCAGAACTTATACGCAGAATGAAGCCGTCACTGTGTGAGTCAGAATGGTTTAATTTAATGCCTAAAACTAATAATGCTAGTAGAATATATGGTACTATAAAAATACATAAGCCAGGTTACCCCATAAGACCAATAGTAGATTTTAGAAATACCCCCACTTATGAATTATCAAAACACTTAGCTCTAATACTATGCCCCATTAGAAATCGTTCAACCTCTAGACTAACTAATTCATATGAGATGAAAAGTAAACTAAATGACATTCAACTAGAGAATGATGAAAAAAGTGGTTAGTTTTGATGTAACTAGTCTTTATACTAATATACCAGTTAATATGGCCTTAGAAGCAGTTAAAAAAGAACTGACTGCGGATCCTGAACTCAGTCATAGGATAAAGCTGTCCATTGAAGAAATTATTTTAGGGATTGAGTTGTATCTCACATCTACTATCTTTAAATTCCAAGGCGAAATATATAGACAAACAGAAGGTGTAGCAACGGGATGGATCACCAATATCCCCTATCGTAGCAGATATATTTATGGATAGCTTGAAAAATATGGCTCTTAACGCAATATTTAATCCTACTTCAAAAATATGGTGGAGATATGTGGATGACACTTTCACAGTGTTAAAAACAGAACATATCTCTAGCTTCTTGACACACATAAACTCACTAGTGGGGGGAATAAAGTTCACATTTCAATCGGAAAATGAACAAGGACAATTAGCTACGTTAGATTGTAAGATAATAAGAATAGAAGAAGGCAAACTACACATTAGTGTGTACAGAAAACCAACTCATTCCAATAGATACTTAGACTTTAATTCATCTCATCCGTTGACTGTTAAGCCAGGCTTAGTTACGTGTTTAACAAACCGAGCAGTAGCACAAGAAAAGACCTAAATGATGAAATAAAACAGATAGAAGAATAGCTGGTTGGTGTTGAATAACTATCCTTTAAAATTCATTAGGAATATCATTAAAGGCCAAAAGAAAAAGAAAAATAATTCTGAAACTAGTAATAATAACATAAATAAGAGAGAATATGTCATCTACAGTTATACCATATAAAGAGGGGACATCTGAAACCCTACGTAGGATTTTAAATAAAGCAGGAATTAGGGTGGCATTTAAACCTACAAACTCACTCAGGGACAAGTTCTGTACGTTAAAGGAACCAGTTGACCCAATTAGACAAAATAATAAAATTTGCAAAATACCCTGCAATGATTGCGAGGTCAACTACATGGGTCAAACTAGTAGGTCAGGGTTAGTCAGATTATCAGAACAGAGGAATTTAGCTAAGGGAAGAATGGTTGACCCTGAAAAAATAAGTAGTTTAGAAAAAAGCTCAGCGATTGCACCACATGCATTAACACACAACCACACAATAGAGTGGTTGGGAGAGGGTTAAAATTCTAAAAAGTAATCTAGGTAGGTGGAAAGCGAGAGAGGTTGATTACTGAATCCTGCGTGGTTCATCGAGTCTATACACCCAACACATGCAATAGGAATGATTCTTCACTCATACCTGAAATATGGGAAATACTACTGCCAATCAAATCAAGTGAAAAATAATGGAACTATATAAATGAAGTTAGGAAGTTGTGTGAGGAGCACCTTGATGTGATTATGAGTGGCAGTAAATTGTGCTCGAAACGTGGTCATCAGTAAACATTACTGTATAACAAACACTGTGAGACTTTATCATAAGAAAAATTTACCCATAATAGAATTATCCTCCACCACCACAGTGCACAAGTTTTATTCTTATATCAATGGGGTCATTTTTCGTTGTCAATTTGGCCAATTGGTAAAGATAACAAAACCAAGTGTAGATTGTTGAATTTGATCAGTGTGTAAATTTATAAAAAAGCATGTGTTTATTTAATGATATTGCTTATCACATTCGTGTTGATTTTGTCACTTTGTGGGAGAAGTGAGTGTTGTAATTAGGTCAGATTCTGTTTTATTCCATCATTCCTATTCGGACAATTTGGATTCCACTTCATATGAAGTGCTTCTGACGGTATTAGACGTTCTTTGTGATTTCTGAAATGCTTTTCTGGATTATTTCAATATTGTCAAAAACGATTTTGTGACCGGATTCTATAGCCTGTAGACCACCACCTATGGCTGATGATTTTTCAAGTTTTTCTAGTTTAACCGGATTTCTTGGTGGTCAAAGAGATACTCTACGGTGTTCATGCATACTCACTTGCTTCCTTACTTTCTTGCTTACTTGATTAATTAATTAACTAATTATTTACCTTCTTACTTGCTTGTTGACTAACTGTCTGACTATCGTGGATGGATGGATGCTGGTTTATTTGCCCGAATGTTTGAATCAGATTTCCGTATGCTTTAAAATTCATTCGACATAGATTTATGCCTCAATTCAACTGGTGGAAATTAACACGTCGCATCATTCATGGATTCATGGCCTGGCCATTGGATCGGGTCCCAGTGGCCTAATGCTCTACGAGCTCGCCTTGTAACCAGAAGGTCCTAGGTTTAAAACTACTGCGGTAATTGCGTACTGATGAATAGTCCTAAATTAGAATAAAAAAGCTGACCAGTACTCCCAGCTTGTTTTCTAATGGTTCCCTAGGTGAAATTAGCTCATAATAAAATCCTCCAGCCAATCAAACTAAATCCCCACAAAAACCAATACTTGAAAAAAGTTTATATATATGTATATATAAACCGACGTGAAGAACCTAGAAGACCTGGATTTCGCGGATGACTTATGTTTGATGTCACACACAATCGAAGACTTACAAGCGAAAACCGACAAACTGGTCGAAGAAAGAGCCGGCGAAGACAGGACTCCAGGTAAACATAGACAAGACGGAGGTTATGAAAATAACCAACTAGCAACAGCAACAGCATCCAACGTCAATCACCATCAACGGGAGGGATTTGAAAGAGGCTACTTCATTCACTCACTGATCTACGGAGCATTGTCTCAACTACAGGAGGAGCGGACGAGGATGTCAAATCGAGCGAGAATCGGGAAGGCGAGAAACACATTCACTCATCAACCTGAAATCAATCTGGAAATCTTCCTCACTCAGCCAGCATCAACAACAAAATCCATTCGGATTTTCAATACAAACGTAAAGTCAGTTCTTCTATACGGATCAGAAACTTGGGGGCGGGTCAAAAAGTGTATTTCCAACAGCCTGTTGCAGACCTTTATTAACAACTGTCTTCGCTCTATACTGAAGATCAGATGACCGGAAAGAATCACCAACAAGGAATTATGGGAACAAACAAAGCAAGAACCAATCGCTCAACAAATATGCAGGAGAAAGTGGAGATGGATAGGACACTCGCTGAGGAAACCGCTGGGTGACATCGCGCGCCAAGCCCTCGAGTGGAACCCGAAAGGGAAGCGGCGTGTGGGACGTCAGTGCAAGGGTGACATGGAGGAGGAGATCGCGTGAAGAGGAGTTGAAAGAAGATGGATTAACACGGATGCAGGCAAAAAGTATAGCAGAAGACAGAAGAAAATGGAGACGTGCAGTTGAAGCCCTATGTTCCACTAGGAACCCAAGGGAGCAATAATAAATAATAATAATATATAAACATATTATGCGTCGGTGGCATAGTGGTTAGGACGCTCGCCGACCATGCACATGGTCCGGGGTTCGATTCCCGGCCACAGACGCACTCCTTTACCTCGCTAAGCCAGAAATAATGCTGGTAAAGAGGAAAGGTTGGGTACGAGGCTAGCGACCCCATCCTGTAAAATCAACACTGCTACAGAAACTTCAAGCCTCTAGCTTGAAGCCACCCTATGTTCCTCTGGGGAACGTGAAGGAAAAATATATACATATATATATAAACATATCGTTAGATATGATGGAGAAGAGTTGTAGCTCAAGTGGATGATTTTTATGTGGTTGTGTTCTCTGAACTAGCTGGATGGTTTATTGGCGAAGCTTTCTATGTCAAACAAAAGACTCAAAAACGAAAGAAGATAAAACCAACATCGTCTACCAAAATAAATTGTAACAACTGCAAAAAACACTACATTGGCCAAAGTGGATGACGTTCTCTTCTTCTGGGTATCGATAATCATTAACTAGTTGTCAAAAGACATGACATCCTTTCCCTCATTTCGCCTCACTGCATACAGACAACCACGGACATCATTTCGACTGGGACAACCGACGTCCAAATATTAGACAGAAGAAACGCCAAGAATATGAGAGAATTTTTTGAAGGCTGCCTGATATTCCAGTGAATCATCAATCAATAGACACATTGAGATAGACAAAATTTACCAGTCAATGAGAAGGAAATCTCATACACAAAAGGTCAAAGTTCAAGTCAAGGAATCAATCAATTCCTAAACAAGTAGCCTAGAAGGTGTGAAAACACACAAAAACAAGCAGTCACAACGTTCAAGGTGAGGTCACCAGGAGAGATGACTAATAAACTCATGAAAAAAATCTAAAAGCTCACTTCAAGAAATTGAAGTATGCGCTTAAGATGTTGCCTAGTAGGTTGTGGACAATGAAAGCTTCGCAAATAAACCATCCAACTAGCACAGAGAATACAAGTACATCAAAAAGTATATCTTTAAAGTAACGCTAAAAGGTTATATGACTCACCAACACCTCAGAATGAATTGTTATGACGCGGTAACACAAACAATGCGAATACAATTTGCACACGCCATTATTATTATTATTATTAAATTAAAATGTCTGCAGACAAATTTTGATTGGCTCTTGGTTAGATCGACTGCTATTGGTCACTATTTCTGTACGTATGCCACACTCGATTTCTTCACATCGATAGGTGAGTACAAATATTTGTATAAGACATTTAGACGACAAATTTCGTCAGATGATATCATTATATCGTAGTTTCTCTCTACAGTAAGTTTACAAATAACACAGTTCACCATAATAATAAAATAAAATAAAATTCATGACATTTACTCAGTTATATAAAACAAAAGTACATATTACTGACCAATCATATTTAAATAGGTCAAGTAGTCAGTTCATGGTAGGCGAAGGTTTAAGTCTATTGTATTTTGTATACATAGTTTTGGATGTATATCATTTATCCAATGTTCTGTCATCCCTTACAATAACCAGTCATGAACTAGAGTTATGTGAAATAATTGTGACATCTAGAAAACACAAAATAATCGAGCAAAGAATATCCTTTTCGATAAATTCCTTTTCTCGCTCTACAATTATATATACATATATGTTTATATATTTAGTAATGAACTATGTAGATATATCGACGATGTGATAATGGGGTCACCACTAGGACCCATTCTAGCTGACATTTTCCTTTCGAAACTAGAAAATCGGCCTTTAAAGGATATTATTAGACGTCTTTATGACCAGAAAAGAGTATGGCACAAGAAGAAGTAGAAGTGTATTTAGAAATCCTACATCAACCAGCCAGTACACACATTTTCTCAACTTTGTGCCCTTGAAATACAAACGCAATTTGATAAAGTGCTTGGTTCACAGAACAAGAGCGATTTGTTCGGGTAAATGTCTTCATGAGGAACTTAATGATATTAAATGGTTGCTAAGTGAAAATGGTTATCCTGAAAAGTTTATTGATAAGAATATGAATCTAAAATCAAAGCAGCCCAAGGTACCAACAGTTTCAAAATAGGCCTTATTCTAACAGATGCAGTGCCTTGGGAACAACACCAGCGAGATATTAACACAGTCCCTTAGAAATGCGGTAAAACGAGCATCCCCTGCTCCTGCTGCCGAATTACGCTGTATCTTTAATACCACTCCTCTTTTGTGTTCGGGAGTAAAAGAAAAACTGCCTGATTTCGCCTCTTCCATGTGTATCTACCAGTTTAACTGGAGCCACTTACATAGGCCGTACAATTAGGCGTGTTTATCGTCGGATTTTGAACATCACCCACCTTGTATGGTTAAGCGAAGGACAAACAAAATCTATTCACAGTGCTATTCTATCTCATATTGTGGACACAGAACACAAGATTGACGTTAACCATGCTTTCAGGGTCACTTACCGCATACCTACGAATCTCAATTTTGACTACTAAAGATTACTGAAGCTATGGGGGGATCCATATTAAGAAGCCTAATTTATACATTCAAAAGAAGTTAGTTCAGACATTATCATTACCTTGGCCATCTAGGTTTAAATGATCATGAATTTTTGTGGAATTTTCCTAAATTTAGTTGATATTCTATTCGCTATTATATCTTTATTATTATTATAATTTAAGCATCTTTAATGAACTGTAATTCCACTGTGATCTTACTTTACAAATCGATATTATTTAAAAAACACTAATATTGTTATTAACTACTAATCTAGAATATTCTGTGTATATAAACATGCATATAATTGTAGCGCCGGAAGAGGAATTTATCGAAAAGAATATTCTTTGCTCGATTATTTTGTGTTTTATAGATATCGGAATGAATATTTTTTCTATATTGAAATAGTTGTGACACAGTCATTAATATAGATTGATTTTTTGACCTGAGATTCATAAGTGCTTGGCAATGGATGATGACAATGATGAATTTCTATTCAGATTAATAATTGCACTGGGATTTTCTATTTGTTTTAATTACCATTTTAGAACATGTTCTTTTTTTGACGACCACATTGAAGCATTCTCTTGGTTCTATCTATAGATAGGTGTCAGTGCAACTGCAGGTGAACTTGTAGATACAATTTGAAGTAGAGTCCACAGAACCTCATGTTTTAATCGTAGCTACAGGGGTCGGAAATGTTCGATATAAAAAAGGGAAGAGATTCGGCGGCGTAGAATGTGCGAATGATGACTGACTGAAGTGTTTGAACAGTCAACTGCATAATTTGATCACACTTTAATAATGGTAGGCTAATAAAGATAGCTTTCTTTGGTACATAAGTTGTCTTTTCAAGGTGTGGTCTATCCATAGTGTGACAAATTGATAAAAATTTCTGGATAACCATTAGATAGTCAACAGTGAATGGGGTGAGAAGTAGACATTTGTAAAAAAAATTATATTTGTAAAATCTCAGCGAGATTGAAATGAGTAATTCCAACGTTTCCTACATTCAGCAATCTGGTCTGAACTTCTCCAGGGAAATTAATCGAAATTAACTAACATAACAGAGGTTTATGTATATAAAAGAAACATCTCTTATTTTTATAAACTTTGTCCAATCATGAGTCATAAAACAAGTATTTTTAGTTTTCAAGAGTTGGTTTGTAAGCATTAAAATTGGTTTTACGAGTCCTGTGGTGAGAGCAGGCCGTGAGAAAATATGAGCGAGGCTGATTCAACAACCAATCACAGCAGACTTAACCTGGCAAAATATGATTCCCAGATAGAGAACTCTATTTTTCGAGGAATCCCGAAACAACCATTCAGAAGCCTGCGTTTGTCTGCCTTCCTTCTGATAAACAACCAATCAGATGACTGCGCTTGTCTACTTGCATAAGCTATAATAATGTATGTGAAATATGTATAAATACGTGTTGATTTTCATAATAAAACGATCTGTTGCCTGGCCCTTGTCTTCTGTCGTTACAGTCCTAGCACGGATTGATATTAGTTAGAGGACCATTGAAAACCAGCCAGGGAGTACTGGAAAGCTGTTTCGTCAGCCTAGTTTGAGAATCATCGACAGTACGCATCTACCACAGGAGGTTCGAACCCAGGACTTTCCGAGTACAAGGCTAGCTCGTATACCATTCAGCCACTCACTGGGGACCCGATTCAGTCAATGACCAGTTCATGAATTCTAACTTCTACTAATTAGTGATTAAGTGCAACTAATGTCATCGGTGGGATATCCATTCTCACACATTTGACAAGATGGTCCTCACTGTTCAAAACATCACACTAGAACTCCAGGAAACTCCGTCCTGTAGTAAGTCAGTCACTAGCGAGCATCAGATTAATTTTCTATCTTTGGTTTGTAAGGATTAAAGTTGATTTTCTGAGTCTGACCACGCACTCATGTCAGTTAGAGAACCAGTTGAAAATCATGCAGTACTAATATCAATCTAAGGTCAAACTCATAACAGCTTTTAAGTCTAGACACCCACTTCAAATGAACTATCGTCAAGATTTGACAGAATAGTTCTAGACCCCCACACACGCATGCACACTCTGTTTAAAGTGTTTAACAAAGGTAGATCAATATTTGTAAGTTCGAGGTCAAATTTTGATCACAGCTCATATAATTTTGTTTATTATATTTGTTAATACTTGTTTTATAAATCATGATTAGACAAAGTTTTTAAAAACAAGAAACGTTCCTTTTATATACATAAACTTCTGTTATGTTAGTTAATTTCGATTAATTTCCCTGAAGAAGTTCGGACCAGGTTTCAGAACACTGGAAACGTTGGAATTACTCATTTCAGTCGCGTTGAGATTATACAAATATAATTTTTTTTACAAATGTATACTTCTCACTCGGTGCCAAAATATTCTAGAACTATTCTGTCAAATCTTGACGGGGTGGGAATAGCTGTATAACATGGGAATGGTAGACGTTCATAAAGTCATGCGAAATAGTACGAGACTTAGGACTTATATCTGACAGGGTGGAAATGTATGAACTCAGTGTATGAAATACTACTGTGGTGAGAGCTGTCTGCAAGCTAAAAATGTAGACAACAATTTACGTCAATGTTTACGTCCTGAATTGGGGTCATGAGAAAAAAGCAATAACAAAGCCTAACCTTGAGAAACTCAACAACCAATCACGGAAGACTTAACGTGTGCAAATATGATTCGCAGATATATGGCTTAACTTTCTAAGAAGTGACCACAAAGAGATGACAGAATAAACTTCAGCAAGAAAACGACCAATAAGAAGAAGTTACTTCTCTGCTAACAATAACACCAATAACAATGTACATAAAAATCTATAAATACCTGTCGATTTTCTCAATAAACGATCTGTTGCCTGACCCTTGTCTTTTGTCGGTAGAAACTGACGTTCTGAGTCTCATCTATCTTCAAAACAAACATAATTTGGTTAGATATTTAAGTTCAACGTGCTAGATTTATTTTCTCGGATGAAACATTCAAAGGAGAACTCGGTAGAATTCAGCATTTACTAAGCAGAAAGGGATACCCAATGAAACATAGATTTAACGAGTACAAAATAAACGTTGCCCAATAGATAAGAAATTAGTGTTCTTTAGACGAATTTATGCCAGGTGTTTGTAAGTAATGAGATTGTTTCGCAACATCACAAAAAGAGCCTTCTAAAGGACTTTCAACGCAGTCAAGGCAAATAAATAAATAAACAGTTCACGAAATAAAGGTGAGCTGCTTAATTTCACCTTTTTACCGATTTAATTGTTCTTATGGAGCTAGTTACACTAGGCTGATGATCAAGTGACATCGTCGTTGAGTCTCAGAACAGTACCCATCTTAGCTAGGCAAAGAATCGAAGAAAGCAATAAGCAGCTCAGTACTACCATGTCTGGTCGAGTACAGAACATAATGTTGACGCTAAAAGAACTTATAAGTTGGCGAAGATTTGTAGGTCAGGTGAATCATTTTGATGTACTTGTGTTCTCTGTGCTAGCTGGATGGTTTATTTGTGAAGCTTTCATTGCCCACAACCTACTAGGCAACATCTTAAGCGCATACTTCAATTTCTTGAAGTGAGCTTTTAGATCTCTCTATGAGTTTATTAGTC